AACGAGTTTGAACCCGTGAACTACTGGTTTTGAAAGGAAATTACTTTAGCCACTAGGTCGTTTCCCGATTAATAGATTTACGTAGACTCCAAACTACATTATATTTTTTGAGTCAAATACTTGCTTAAAGTATTTGTAGCGGGTTTTTAGAACATGTTCATTTCCTTTATTGTACTTAGGCAGAATACTAAACTCCGCCTGTAGCTCTTCTAGATATACTTCCGATTTAAAATCCGGGTGGATGAGGAGGGTTTGGCATGAGCTGTCCCTATCCCATAAAAAACAATCTTCCTAAAAAAAACTAACCAGAATAAACAATTTAAAACATTCAAACTTTGTCCTAGGAGTTGAAAGATTATGACCCCCCATGGTGAAAGTCGATATTCTTCAGAAGTCACAAGGTCGATGTTTCTAACAACCAGAGCAACAATTAATACAGTTACATCGAATGTTCAGAATATGGAAGAGACAGGGGATGCCAACAAAATAGCTTCCGAAATGAAGAGATACAACTTGGCAGAACTCGAATACAGTGAAACTCACTGAACCCAAGCTGGACAGAAGAATAGATTCGGGAGAGATACTGCTGTACTCTGATCACGAGGAAGAAAATACTCCGCATACATAGGGAGTTGTCTGATGACATCCAAAGAAGTACGTAAAGCACTCAGGATGGGAATCTCATGAACCTAGAATCATCAAAGCATCCTTCAAAACAAAGAAGGAGGGAATCACAATGAATGTTATCCAATGTTATGCACCAAACAATGATGGCAATGACGGCGATAAAGATCAGTTTTTTGAGAGGCTGCAATCAATCTTAGCGAAGTGCTCAGGAAGGGACCTGACCATTCTGATGGGGGGCTTAAATGTCAAATTCGGACATGAAGATGTCATGGGACGACATAGACTGAATGGAAGAAAGAAACGAGAATGGTGAAAGATTTGCAAATTTATGTGCATTCAACAAAATGGTTATAGGTGGCACAATATTCCCACACAAACGCATACACAAAGCTACATGGGTCTCACCAGATTACACTACAGAGATTTAGATGAATCATACTTACATCAGTAAAAAGTTCGGAAGGTCAATGGAAGATGCAAGAACCAGGAGAGGATCTGACATAGCTTCAGATTACCACATGGTGGTAGCCGAAATGAAACTGAAGATAAAGAAGCATTGAACAACTGGAGAGACAGCATTACAAACGTTCAATACAGCCTTCATTTGAAATACTGACAAATTCAAGATAGCTCTCAGCATCAGGTTCCAAGCCCTACAATATGTACTCAAAAAAGATGAAACCACTATGGTGGACAATTGGAAAAGGATCAAGAAAGTATAGTGGACAGCTTGCATGCAACTAGACCTAGTCCTTCTATCCCACACACATCAACAAATGTAGGTGAAGAAAGCCAGTTTAGTAGCAGCATGCCTCAGCAAACAACAGAAAAAGAAAGAGTAAGTAACAACCAAATCACACTTGATGGAGCTTGGAAAGAGGTGGGAACTTTTGCGTATCTGGACAGTATCAGCAATAAACAAGTGGGATCTAATGCAGATGTGAAGGTACGGATTGCGAGAGCAAGAGCAGCATTCATACAGTTGAAGGACATATGGAACTCAAAACAACTGTCAACCAATATCAAAGTCACAATCATCAATACGAACGTCAGGACAGTTCTACTGTGCGGAGTTGAAACTTCTAGAACTACCACAACCATCATTGAAAAGGTACAAATATTTATAAACAGTTGTTTACGCAAGATACTCGATGTCTGTTGGTCGCATATCATAAGTAACAGCCTACTATGGGAGAGAACAAACCAGCTTCCAGCTGATAAGGAAACTGGGAATAGACGTTGATAGTGGATAGGACACACATTGCGGAAACCATCAGACTGCACCTGATGGTAAGCTCTGACTTGGAATCCTCAAGGTAAAAGGAAAAGAGGTAGACCAAAGAACACATTGCCCCGGAAACCTTAGACAGACACCAAAAGAATGGACAGCACATGGGAACTTCCAGGAAGAAGAGTCCAAAACAGTGTTGGTTGAGGATTCCTAGTTGGCGATCTATGTTCCACGAGGGGTGCTTTGATGTCCTAGTGTCCGTAAGTAGTTGATTTATTGATACTTTCGTTACCTTTGGAAAATGTTTTTTACTCGATGTCGTCCAAGTTAATGGGTTCCGCATTTCCACAAAGTTGATCTGTTAAGCGTCTCATGAGAGACGCGGTTCTGTATGAACCTTCGATGAAAACTGACCAAGCCGTTAAACGTACGTATTCGCTTGACTGTGGTTGTTTCTGGGTAATCCGGAATGGCCGTTATTTTGCTTTAAAGATGGTGGATACATTGAACATTAATAGTGTGTCCGAGAAGATCCAGGGAGTCGGTCCAAATCTCACTTCTTAATGGCTGCATTAGTGCCGTGTTTTTTTGAAGATGTATCGGAACAAGGTGAGAGATGAGATTCTCAATCCGGTAATGCGATCAAGCAGTCGTATATATATATATATATATATATATTAATTCGACGTTGAGCACTTCAGAAACCGAAAAGCATATACGAAATTCCGTAGAGTACGAATGTAGTGATGATAGCGGTTCTAGGAATGTTGTCAGTAACCATGGGTAATGTGGTTATAAGCTTTAACAAGATCGATTTTCGAAAATAGTCATTTTTTAGATGGGTGTCAAAATCGGGAATGTGCTGCAAGCAGTAACAATCGGGAATGATTTTCGTATCCACTCGCCGATAATCATAAGTTGGACGCCAATCCTTGCTGTCCTTTTCAGGAGCTAGTTGGCACACTTTCGAAAATACAGGTGGCTACGTGGTCGTGATATGGTGTGTAACGTTGTTGGTTACGCGCAGTAATGTTGGTCATGTGTGGTACAGTTCTAGGTACTCATTAAGTATCCATTTGGTAGTATGGACTGCTTGTATGCTTACTAGTGACTGAGTATATTTTACAATGAGAAAATGAAGTTATACAAACAGATAATTTAGTATTTCAGTCTATTGACCTCTTGTTGCTCGTGTCGATGAGAATAATGAATGGTAACTGTTGGAATCTATTTCTGGACCAATACTATACGTATATTTTTATCGTATAATTGTTAAGTAGCTAAACTATTCATATTCGTGTTCCTCTTATTACAAACTTTATTTCGACCTGTGGACTTTTATTGTACGATTTACCATTCTTGAGTTATGCCCAGTCTATCAAGAAAAGATCCTAAAATATAACGCAGTGAATAACAACGAATCTATAGTTGATACAAATTAATCAGTGAGTTAATACATGTAACAGTTTACAACACTGATGGGTTATGCTGCTTTGATTAACAATGTTAGCTAAATTGCTGAGTTATATACATAGTACTCCTTCCTTATGCATTTTTTAAGTTGATGCACAGTCAGAACATAACATCGGAATATCTTCTAACAATTAATAGACAGTAATGACTCAAACTGAATACGTTGACTAGCGACGTCCAACTACAATCCTTTTATATATATTTCAGTTTCTTTTGTATCCGCATTTGAGTGGTACGTCACTCGTTACCAAGAAAAAACCCCCAGTGTTTCCAGAACACCATAGCATATTTCGGTATTCCACAACGATCCATGAATTGCAATGTGATTACTTACGTGTTGACCATGGACTTAATGGTAATGACCTCGAGTCTGGCTTTAGACTTATTTCATTCGTTTTCCATGACCCCATCCACGCTGACGGACCAATCTGTTGAGAGAGCAGTCTCTGATTGCAGGAATTTTAGCTCGTGAGATATTGAGATTAGGTGGATTAGATACATACTGTATGACGTGTCCAAAAGCTAAATTATAGTACGTGATCAATGTTAGCTGATTAGAGTAGGTACTGAATGTTGATAACATCATCACAACAGTATGAAGAAAATATTCAACAATGATGGTTCATGTTTAAAGTCAATGTGTCGGTTTTGGGATACAATGTACAATTTATTACCCTATCACTTCTAGTACAAATGTATCCTGCAATAATTTAAGCACGGCCTACACCAACTATAAGCAACACTTAAGCGGCAAATATACCCAGCTAATTATTTCAACATTAGGCTGGACAAGGACGTTATAATTCTGAGTGCTTGTGCAACAAAAACTCAAGGTGCACTTGCGAGTTAATTGTTTAACCCATATTGGTCTTGGATGCACAAAGATGCCTCAGCTTAAGTATAAAGATACTCGATATACCGAGACAAGTCACAAAGTATCTTGTGGTCACGTAAGTTATATGCGAAAGTAAAACAAGGGAAGTTAACCGAACTGTGGTGGCTCCATACATATTCCTACAAGCATCTTTTATACTACATGTCATTGTAAATGTAATGTGACCTTATTTTGACAGCACTAACCAAAAGAGCTTCATCTACTCAGGTTTTTCGAGCATAAAGAACACAATAACGAAATAAGATCGCAAACCAAAATAAAAACTCAGGACTACTAAACACACTGATAAAGCGTCAGAGTACATAAGGCTACTAAAATAAAGTGAAAATCTCGAAGAAACAGCAAGAGTATAAATTATGAAAATTTTTAAAATAAAATAGTGATTAGTAAGGCATACGGACTAGTTTACAGTTTACTTAATTTATTGGGAAACATATGGATTGAAATTAAGAGGACAATCGACCAGTGAGACAAATGGTTGACATGTTCACTTGCTTCTATAATGCTACATTACCGATATCGATTACTGTCTTTGTTTCTTACCTATTAACTATTTTCAAAGATAAAGAAGCTACTCATATTTGGGAGGGAATCACTTTGAAAATAGATTGTAGAAGAAACTCTATTTAGAATGGTTGTATTTATATTTCTTTTTCGCATATATTTGGCAGATATAAAGCAAAACAAAAGAAGAATACAACACTATGACTAATATAAACAACAATTTATTATAAAACCACTACGTGACATAAGAATAATTAAACAGATAACTTCTCACAATACCAACCTTTCTTTTTTAACAGGTATATCACACTCTGGGTCATCATTCTTATTTAGATTTTTAGTGTTGAAATGTGTGCGAGTGGTAACATAATCTTGATTGGTTATTTGACTATCATCGGTTTTCAAAACATTATCAACAATAATCAGAGGAGATGGAGAATTTCTGAAACTATACGTATGATTATCCAATGTAGAAAGCCATTTGAATGTACTGAACAATAACATAGAATTGACAAAAGTTAAAGAAATTAACGGTTGTTGGAAATATGTTAACATCTAAAAGAATACAACGAACACATGGAATTCCGCGACAAGCAAAAACATAGTAGTCACAAATAATGTTGCCAGATCATAAGTGGTAGACCAGGTTGCCTAATGTGGTGACTAAAATAGAGTCGTATTGGCTTGGGCATTTGATACTTTATGTATTATCAACCTAGACAAGTAGGTTAGAGAAGAAGCAACGACAAGAGAACCATATTTATGGTTAGAGTAGTGTGAACAGAGAAACAAGAAGCCTTAACAAACTACAGAAGCTATTTTTTGAGGACGTTAATTTATTTCACTCCTAGGTCACTAGGTTGCAGTTGACAAGGTCTCCTATAGCGACACACGAAGTATTCTTCCATTAGGTGGGCGACCAAGAAATGACAACTGTCCCCGTACGTTTAATAGCACTGTAGGTCACAATGACAACTATTACTATCGTGGCTTTTAGGGTTAAGTGAAAGTATGAGACAGTTCGAAGCAAATGTCAGAAAGGACACCACGCTTATTTAAGACTCCAGAATCTCGTTGCATTTTCGAAATGCAATTGAAGGAACAGGAATATACTTTCAGATGTCCGACTACAGTTGTATTCCCTGAACTTAAGGTAGCGTTCGACTCTGTTGATCATGAGGTTCTGTAGTGATATCTGTCATTAAAAGGAATACCAAAGTACATTAACCTTGTACAGGATCTCTACTCCAACACTAATCGTGAAGTCAGAGCTTATGACCAACTGTCATCGGAATCGGTTACTTCAAGCAGTGTTCGTCAATGTTATTCGCTTTTTCCACTTTTATTTAACTTTGTCATAGACATGCTCTTACCAAATAACACTTTCATCGTTTGACTTTTAAAGGATTGATCTTCTACAAGGATATTCAGTTGTTCACCTAGAATACGCAAAATCGTTAGTAATGGTGCAGGTGCATCGATTCTCTGTCTAACTCCAGACTTGCTTGACGAGATTTTTATTTATTTATTTGAACACATAAATATTGGTACAGGGGGGCACCAAATATATATGCTTGACGAGACATATGAGGTCAGTTATTAGTGTGGACATGATCACTTTTTACTTGATTTTTCATTAAGAAGTGATTGCACAGAAATACAGAAAAACTATCAGTGTTACACAACCACCTTTTCTAAGAAACCACAATTGCAAGGAAATAATTACACACTGAAGCTTAACTACATGGGTAAATGAAAGACTGTGGTACGGATAACAAACTAATATTGAATACTTCATAAATGTGAAAGGATACGACTTTTCCTCTGACTCAATTCGATCAATATGTTTATATACACATTGCATCTTGAATTCGTTTCTTTGCTCCTATTAATAACAAGAAAAAAGATAGGCAGAGTAAATTACTGAAAATCTAATAAAAAAACAAACTGCACATTAGATTAGCATAAGCGCTAACGACTAGAAAATTATAGCACTGTCTAATATTACTGTTTTGTGATCAGTGTGTAAAAAATTTGGTCCTATGATAGGTTAGTTGGCGCTCGAATAGCTCTGTAGTCACTTCTGTGATCACTGACATTGAATTCTCATAAAGAGCATCATTTTTCTTAAGAATAAAGATATACTTTGTTGATGAGTTTCAGCAAATCAGTCAGTCAGTCACAACGTAGAACTTCGTACGTACGTACATCAGTTCGAACTGCCATACTACATTAGCACACAGATGCAGTTGTCGATTCAAATCCCGTAGTGTTAGAGGTGCATTAAGGTTGACTAAGGTGTTTTGTGGAAAACGATATAACAATTGTATAATAAACTTTTATTACGGGCTGACGTCAAAGCCAATAAATTACTGATAGTCAATAAAGTAGTATTTTAAAACTCTTCAGGACTGAATATCGTAGAGCTCCACGACCGTCGCTGTTACCTTGACGTGGTGGTCGGGCTTGCCTATCATGATGAACCAATCGAGTTATACTGGCTGGAACAATCGTTCCTCAAGTTCCTACCATGTCAGACAGGTCGGTTGAAAAGCGGTAAGACTAAAAGCAACAAATCCAAGGTCCGACGGCAAAGTCGTACTGCTGACTGTACAGAGATATGACGGCAGTAAGGTGTTTCTTTCAGACAACCAGTATGACAGCGATGCTACCTCCCCACAAGGAAGAGTGGGGTTAGAAAAGGTCGACCACAAACATGCATATCTCGCCGTATCTCACAAATATCCGTCTCCAGCTGTAAGATCTCAACAAGTACGTGTGTGACCGACTTCAAGCAGTTGTCTCTTAGGCACTGGTCAGGCTCTCGGGTCACTAAGACAACCTCTAACCCAATTTCCTTTTCAGGTACCTCCAGAACAACCCTTCCACGGTATGGGCAACCGAAAAGCGATAACTACCCTCATACCTCTAACGGCACTCGAGATCACCGTATCCATAATCAATCTCCCTCTTCAATTCCTATTATTACTTCTACTTCGACCTTCAACTCCCCTTCTAGGACATGCACTTATCGACTTAGAATACACAAATGATATAGTCCTCTTTGGTGAAGACGCTGATAAAATGCAGTATTTTGATAGCATTGAGCAACAATGGCGGGATGCTAGGAATTCGTTTCTCTCCCTCTAAATGCAAGTTGTTACTCCAGGACTAGCCTGCGTCAACACCTGGACTACGGATAAGGAGTGAATTAGTTGAACGCGTCGACAACTTCACCCATCTTGGAAGTCTGATCAGCCTTATTGGGTTGGTGTCTGACGAAATCTCAGCACACATTCAGAAAGCTCGTTTGGATTTTGCCAACCTACATGACCTATGGCGAAGGCGAGATATCTGTCTATCAATTAAGGAACGAGTATACTGTATGGCAGTTCGTTCTCTTCTACTTTACGGCTGCGAAACGTGGCCATTAAGAGTAGACGATACTCGTAAGCTACTAGTATTTGACCACAGACGCCTCAGAAATATTTCTCGAATCTTCTGGGATCACCGGGTAAGTAATTGTAAGGTTAAACATAGGGTATTAGGGGATGATGGTAAATCAGCTGATGAGGTTGTGAATCTTCATCGAGTGAGATGGTTGGGTTATGTGTTGCGTATGCCTGAACACCGATTACCACGTCGTGCAATGCTAACCAGTGTTGGGGATGGTTGGAAGAAAGTTAGGCGTGGCCAAACCAAAGCGTGACATCAGTGCTTGAAGTCGCTAACTTCTATTCTTAGCCATGTTGGTAGATGCAGACTACTTGTTTGGGGTCCGCGTGACTATCGTAACCAATGTTTGAAGTAACTACTTTTATGAATTTTGTGTTCATCTTGTTGTGCTAATGAGGTATGGCAAATTGAACCAATGCATATATGTGCGGATGCTATGTTGCAGCTGACTGACCGACCGGATAGCTCCTACGCACCTGCAGGACATTTTATCTCACTGAGACACAGAATATCGAATAACAAAGCCTGAGATGTAACTACGAAGAATTTCTTTACTTAGCAAACATACCATTATAATTCTAAGTAACATAAAATTATGATAAAGAGATTAAATGGTTCATGCTCGTTGGTTCAATGACAAAATAGACTGTTTCAGGATTTTTCCGACCATGTAGCAGTACGAAACAAAACCTGGAGTGGAAAACAATTGACCCCACTAAAGTAAAACGCTGACTTTTAATTCAACCACTTCGTACCAGCACTTCATATTTATTTAAACACATAAACATTGGTACAAGGAGGCATCGAAAACATATGCGCCACATAAATAATTCGATTTGTGTGTGGGCTGGTGTATTGCTCAAGTGCCTAACCCGGAGCATATGGTTTTCATAGGGGGTCACCCCCCTGGGCCTTCGACCGTAAGGTCTAATTCACAAGGTAGTGGAGTAACGTGAGGAGATAGTCTTATGGTTGCCACTGATCAAAAATATGTTTATACGCCATTTGTTCTTTTAGGATACTGGAGCCGATGTGTACCACTGGTTTGTAATCAGGGTTTTGCAACTCCCGTAGGTGGATCGTCCGTGTTCACCAACCCGGTTGTAGCGCCGGACATTCGCTTTTCGTCCTCTCAACTTTGTGAACAACACCCTTGCCGCGAGAATGAAATACATTCGTACATAAGACGATAAATACAGATTTCTAACTAATTTGCGATATAGTACAACCCCTATTCATAATGTGATATAAAAAAACAAATGTCGAAAACCTCACTGGAAGTGAAAAAAGTTCACAGACAGACTTCAATAAAAAAGTTTATTTGTATTAAATTGGTAAAGCGAGTAGGAGAACGATTCGAAAATCTCACTTCATATTTACTCCAATCAATTGGTTGGTGGATACCATCATTTTGATATTTTGTATTATACTGACTAAAGTCCACTCGGTTAAGCATAAGACCTAGTCCTGGAGCTTTCGGTATATCTACCTACATATAAATGAAAGAGAGATAGATGAGCATATATATATATATATATATATATATATATATATATATATATTTCTTTTCTATTCTCTGAAGAACAGGCTTCTACTGAGTTACACACCTTGAGATGTTACGAATGTATTTTTATTTTAATTAACAATAAACCCAATGTTCAGTTTATTTGAAATTATCATGTCAAAACATGGTACTGATGTAGTGAACACAAACACGGGTGAGGACAATCGAATGTATTTGTGATGTGTGGGCGAGAACGATCATGATTGGTTGTCTGCTTAGTCAGACATTAGACAGTCTGACAGGTGTCACATAAGTTATATATTCCATTATCCTTATTATTGTGACACAGTATACATACTCACACACATATTATTGATTGCTCATTGTAGTGAATTGTGTGGGTTTTGGGTGTGAAAATATATTCACGTTGTGATCAGGCTAATTACGTGTTCTTGATCTGAGTTGTGTTGAAGTCCTATAGAATAGACACTGGGAGGGATCTAGTGTAGATAATCGTTTAAGCGTTACAACATTAGACGAAGTAATACCGAGCGTTATAACAATTTGACAACAAATTACAGAACTAGTTAGTAAAATCTAACAACCATATAGTAAATGCTCAATTTGCAAAATGTCCATCAATTGTCTCAAATGACTCAGACTTCCTTTTCAAACAAATTAGATTCTAAGCAAAGATGGATAGTGGCTGGCAGTGGAATCCAGGATGCGCGTTTCGTCCTATTTGGGATCCGTCAGCTGGATGTACCTGCATCTCAGAATTGATGTTCACTCTGGGACTCGAACCCAGTAACGTCCGCTTCAAACGCCATCGCGTTATCAGAGACTGATCAATTGCAATCCTAAACATCAATGGGAAGATTCAAGAAAAACAATATCAAGTGAATTAAACTTCACCCTATTGCTCAAGCAAGTGGCTATCAGGACTCGGTAGCTAAGTGGATAATGCGATGGCGTTTGAAGCGGACGGTACTGGGTTCGAGTCCCGGAGTGAACATCAACTCTGAGATGCAGGTACATCTAGCTGACCAGTCCCAAATAGGACGAAACGCGCATCCTGGATTCCACTGCTAGCCACTATCCCTCTTTGCTTATAATGCTTGTAAATTAAGGCAATATCGAGGCAATACGCACAGTATGCACATATGCTAATATGAGAGACTGATCAATTACAGTCCTAAACATCAATGGGAAGATTCAAGTAAAACAATATCAAGTGAATTAGTTGTTCTGATGACATCCAAAGAAGTACGTAAAGCACTCAGGATGGGAATCTCATGAACCTAGAATCATCAAAGCATCCTTCAAAACAAAGAAGGAGGGAATCACAATGAATGTTATCCAATGTTATGCACCAAACAATGATGGCAATGACGGCGATAAAGATCAGTTTTTTGAGAGGCTGCAATCAATCTTAGCGAAGTGCTCAGGAAGGGACCTGACCATTCTGATGGGGGGCTTAAATGTCAAATTCGGACATGAAGATGTCATGGGACGACATAGACTGAATGGAAGAAAGAAACGAGAATGGTGAAAGATTTGCAAATTTATGTGCATTCAACAAAATGGTTATAGGTGGCACAATATTCCCACACAAACGCATACACAAAGCTACATGGGTCTCACCAGATTACACTACAGAGATTTAGATGAATCATACTTACATCAGTAAAAAGTTCGGAAGGTCAATGGAAGATGCAAGAACCAGGAGAGGATCTGACATAGCTTCAGATTACCACATGGTGGTAGCCGAAATGAAACTGAAGATAAAGAAGCATTGAACAACTGGAGAGACAGCATTACAAACGTTCAATACAGCCTTCATTTGAAATACTGACAAATTCAAGATAGCTCTCAGCATCAGGTTCCAAGCCCTACAATATGTACTCAAAAAAGATGAAACCACTATGGTGGACAATTGGAAAAGGATCAAGAAAGTATAGTGGACAGCTTGCATGCAACTAGACCTAGTCCTTCTATCCCACACACATCAACAAATGTAGGTGAAGAAAGCCAGTTTAGTAGCAGCATGCCTCAGCAAACAACAGAAAAAGAAAGAGTAAGTAACAACCAAATCACACTTGATGGAGCTTGGAAAGAGGTGGGAACTTTTGCGTATCTGGACAGTATCAGCAATAAACAAGTGGGATCTAATGCAGATGTGAAGGTACGGATTGCGAGAGCAAGAGCAGCATTCATACAGTTGAAGGACATATGGAACTCAAAACAACTGTCAACCAATATCAAAGTCACAATCATCAATACGAACGTCAGGACAGTTCTACTGTGCGGAGTTGAAACTTCTAGAACTACCACAACCATCATTGAAAAGGTACAAATATTTATAAACAGTTGTTTACGCAAGATACTCGATGTCTGTTGGTCGCATATCATAAGTAACAGCCTACTATGGGAGAGAACAAACCAGCTTCCAGCTGATAAGGAAACTGGGAATAGACGTTGATAGTGGATAGGACACACATTGCGGAAACCATCAGACTGCACCTGATGGTAAGCTCTGACTTGGAATCCTCAAAGTAAAAATAAGAGAGATAAACACCTAAACCATGTATTCCAATTGGTAACAGCTGCGAGAGAGAGCCAACTCCGCCTGAAATCACTCCAGGAGCTACTGCCGGTCCAAAGCTCGGATAAACGAGGAGGGTTGGGGATGGGGTTAGCGAACCCATACCGTAGAAAACGCTAACGAGAAAAAATTATTCAAACCATTTAAACTTTGCCCTGGGAGTCAGAAGGTAATCATTTAGAAGTATTATGACGCATCATGATGAAGACCGGGTTCCTTAAGCAGTCACGAGGCCGATGCCCCTTCTGACAACCAGAGCAACCATCTATTTAGGTACGTGGAATGCTCGTACAACGTGGGAGACCGGGAGAGCAACTGGAAAAGGATAAAAGAGGCAACCACTTCAACATGTCATGAGGTTTTTGGGCCACAAGGAGTGGATCACGGTTGATACACTGGATAAGATTCAAGAAAGGCGGAACAAGAAGGCAGCAATCAATACCAGCCGAACATGAGCAGAAAAAATCAAAGGCACAAGCTGAATACACAGAAGTAAACAATTAAGTGAAGAGGAGCATCAGAACTGACAAACGTAAATATGTGGAAGATTTAGCAACTTCGAAACCAACAGGCAGGATTACGTAAGGACAGATCGCGTACAGACTAAATCGCAGCTCTACGGATCATTGTGCAACAATCAACTGGATGGAATTCAGCACTCTGCATCAACTTCACTGATAGCGTGGACAGAACAACACTATGGAAGCTTCTTTAACACCACGGCGTGCGTCAAAAGATCAGCCAGTCAGTAACAACATGGAACTTCGTACGTACGTTCATCAGTTCGAGTTGCCATACCACATTAGCACAGAGATTCAGTAATCAATTCAAATCCCATAGTGGTAGAGGTGGTAAGAGTATAAGCAGTAGTCGGAAAGATGTTATTTAAGGAGTATAATACAGCGGAATAAATTTGGAAAGAGCGAAAAGGGACATAAAGAATTCAGAAGATTAGAATTTGGGAGAACACAAAGAGTGGATGTACCTGTGCCGTTGCAAACGATTTTGAGCCATGTCATTCAAGATCTCTAATCATCGTTTGCCATCGTCTCGCGGTTCTCAACTAGGTAATCTACACTTACCAACATGGCTCAGTCCACTTGTCAGTGACTTCATGGATTTGTGCCATGTTTTGGTCTGGTCGCCCCCCGCTTTCTTCCAACCCACTCCTATACCAGAAAACATAGCACGTCGAGGCAGTCGGTGGTCGGGCACACGTAACACGTGTCCCAGCCATCTCAACTGATTAGGTTTCACTACTTCATTAATTGATTTGCCATACTTACCTAGTACCCGTTTCCTAACAACTGCATTACTTACTCGGTGGTCCCAGGATATGCGAGCAATGCTTTGAACACACCTATGATTGAATACTAGTAACCTACGAATATCCTCTACTCTTACTGGCCATGTTTCACTGCCATAAAGTAGGACGGAACGAACTGCTGCGCAGTAAACCCGTCCTTTGGTTGGAAGAAGGATATTTCGCCTACGCCACAAATGACGCAAGTTGGCAAAAGCTAGTCGAGCCTTCTGTATCCGTGCTGAGATTTCGTCACACACCAGACCACAAGGGCTGATGAGACTTCCAAGATAAGTGAAGCGGTTGACACGCTCAACTACTTCACTCCCTATCACTAGTTCGGGAGTCGATGCAACCCGATCCTGAAGAAACATTTTGCACTTCGAGGGGAGAATCGCATCCCGAACATGGCTGCATTGTTGCTTATAGTGGTCAGAAGACTGTATTTTATCAGCGCCTTCACTAAGTAGAACCATGTCATCGGCATATTCTAAGTCAACAAGTGGATCTCCCGGTAGAAGTTTAACTCCTGGAAATTTAGATGAGGAAAGTGTCATCTCTAAATGGACGTCAACAACAAAGTTAAGCAAGAATGGAGAGAGTGGACAGCCCTGACGAACACCACTTGAGGCAATCAGTTCTGATGACAGTTCGCCATAAACACTCACTCGACCAGTAGAGAGCCTTTATAAGGTTAATGTACTTCTTTGGTACTACTATCACTGACAAACACTGCCATAGAACCTCACGATCAACGGAGTTAAATGCCGCCTTAAGGTCGAAAAATACTACCATTGTGAGACGTCTGAATATGTGTCTATGTTCTAGGACCTGACGTAGTGTGAATATTTGATCTATACAACCACGTCCAGGTCGAAAACCAGCCTGGTTTTCTCTAGCATGCTCTTCACGAGCTTTGGTTAGACGTCGAAGTATTATTGAAGCTAATATTTTAGACACTATATTAGTCAAACGGATTCCTCTGTGATTGTCACAAGAGGACTTTTATCCTTTCTTATAGACTGGCACAATCAGTGATTGAGACCAGTCAGATGGGATTACGTCCAGTTCCCTGATTCTACCGAAGACCTCAGTCAATCTCGCTGCTAATACTGGACCACCATCCTTAAAAATCTCAGGGGTAAACCTGTCACGGCCTGTTGCTCTCCCACGCTTCAGATTTCCTATCACTTTTTCAACTTCGTAAAGATCGGAGTACTTACATCAACTTGCCATTCAGATAGATTGGAGATCGTAGGAAACCGAAGTGTCGCTGAAGGCCAGTTGAACTGATCCCTAAAATGTTCTGCCCATAGATCCAATCTCCTGGATTGAGAATGAATAATATGTCCATCTTTCTCTGAGATTGTTTCGCTAACAGTTGGGTTCCTAATACCGGTTTCCTTAACAAGTCTGAACAGTTGCCTGCTGTTAACTATTGCCGCTGCCTTTTCCATCTCTCTTGCTTTCGCTACCCACCACTGTTCACGATCATTGCGGAGGCTTCTAGTCAGCTTACGCTTAAGCTGACTCCGCTCTTCGTTATGTTCAGAGCCAGATGGAATGAGTTTTCGAGCATCTATCAGTGCGGTAGATGCTGCTGAGATCCAGTGTTTCTCCTTAACCTTATGGTTTACCGTACTTGCAGACATCACTGCTGTTTCTACAGCTTTTCGGATGTCATTCCACGCTACCTCGGGGCGGGCATCACTTACATGGCTGCCTAACTGTTTTTCTAGTTGTTCCTGAAATATACTCTTAGCTTGACTGTCATTAAGTAGGACCCTAAGGGGTTTCCTTGTACCATCTTTCCTACGTCCAGTAAAACGTAGACAAATACGCGCTCACACCAGAGCATGATCTGAGTCTAAGCATATGCCCCAGAATGAGCGACAGTCTTCTATCGAGCCCCTCCATCGGTGGCTGATAGCGATGTGATCTATTTGGGTCCAGCGTTGGGACGAATTAGGGGGTCGCCATGTTAAAAGATAGTCAATATCATACGGAATTCCTATGATGGATTAAACTGCAAAATCGTTCATGCAGAACAGTTGACAAACTCCTTCGAAGTAAAGACCGGTGTCAGGTAAGGTTGCTTATTATCTCTCTCTTCTATCGCAAGCGCAACAACAAATGCAGAAGACGACCAGTGTAGCAACAGCCTCAGCAGCAGTAGGTCTCAACATACACAAATGGGAAAGCAAGATTCTTTGATACAATACAGCATGCACCAATCCAATCACACTTGATGGAGAAGATTTAGAAGATGTAAAAACCTTTACATATTTGAGCAGCATCATTGATGAACACGGTTGATCTGATGCAGATGTGACGGCACGGATCGACAAAAAAAAGCTGCATATTTACAACCAAAGAACATTTCAAACTCAAAACAACTATCTGTCAACCAACACCAAAATCAGAATTTTCAACACAAATGTCAAGATAGTTCTACTGTATGGGATGGAAATCTGGAGAACTACGAGAACCATCATCCAGAAGATACAGGTGTTTATTAAACAGTTGTCTACACAAAATACTTTGGATCCGTTGGCCGGACACTATTAGCAACAACCTATTGTGGGAGAGAACAAACCAGATCCCAGGGGAGGAAGAAATCAGGAAGAAGCGCTGGAAGTGGATAGGACACACGTTGAGGAAAGCACCCAACTGCGTCACAAGACAAGCCCTGATATGGAATCCTCAAGGCCAAAGGAAAAGAGGGAGATCAAAGAACACATTACGGCGAGAAATGGAGATAGACATGAGAAAAATGGACAAGAATTGGATGGAACTAGAAAAGAAGGCCCATGACAGAGTGGGATGGAGAATGCTGGTCGGCGGCCTATGCTCGACTGAGAGTAACAGGTGTAAGTGAGAGCCCAAAACAGGGTATTTGAAGATTCTTGGTCGGCGGGCTATGCTCTAAAAGCGGTAGCAGGCCTAAATGATTAGTCACATATAAGTAATGTCTCAAAAGGCGTCGACATTTATTTTATAAACTTTTTTTACTTTCTTCAGGTGTACGTCATTTATAACTAGAACAGTGAAAAATAACGTTATGTTTACAATAAATACCTTTAGTTGTTGAATGGAATGTTTGGTCTGGATTAAGAAGTATTGACGGCACATCTTTAAGGCTTATTCAACCATGCAGATGTTGGTAAATACCTTATTTTTGCAATTTTATTTTAAGAATTTGATTAGGAGACAGACTAAGAATTCGTATGTAAGCACATAAATAATCAACAACTAGAAATAAACACGGATGTTTATACAGTATACACTTTATTCTTACTCTTTCTTTACTGAACACAATATCAAATACTGCTTCTGTTGCATAACCACGTAGAACAGCTAATGCTAAACCAATCATTTTACGTATTTGATGCAACATAAACGACTGACCAGTAATACGTATAATAGTATATTGATGCTCACCAAGTAAAAATGTTGGCATACATTTGGCCGATATAATATATCGATTACAACTACTATCCGTTGCAAGTCTTGTGTTAAAGTTAATCAAAAGAAAAGTTTAAATATCGGGCTAAAGAATAGAAAAATAAACTAACAAATAACTGAAAAACAAAGATATAGATTACTTCACTTTTGACTTATTGAAAAACATTTTACATCATTCATATATTGGATGGTTGAAGGTAATCGGCAAAAGCCATGGTTCACCGAAATCTCGATATAGTTCCTGCTCCTCAAGAAAGATTATGTACAATTTTTATAGGTCTAATGATACTCGTGATCTTGGAGTACGTGTCATCTAATATCACGGGTCAGTTGTGATATTACTCATCGATTCACACGCTAGTCAACGTATTCAGTTTGAGTCATTACTGTCTATTAATTGTTAGAAGATATTCCGATGTTATGTTCTGACTGTGCATCAACTTAAAAAATGCATAAGGAAGGAGTACTATGTATATAACTCAGCAATTTAGCTAACATTGTTAATCAAAGCAGCGTAACCCATCAGTGTTGTAAACTGTTACATGTATTAACTCACTGATTAATTTGTATCAACTATAGATTCGTTGTTATTCACTGCGTTATATTTTAGGATCTTTTCTTGATAGACTGGGCATAACTCAAGAATGGTAAATCGTACAATAAAAGTCCACAGGTCGAAATAAAGTTTGTAATAAGAGGAACACGAATATGAATAGTTTAGCTACTTAACAATTATACGATAAAAATATACGTATAGTATTGGTCCAGAAATAGATTCCAACAGTTACCATTCATTATTCTCATCGACACGAGCAACAAGAGGTCAATAGACTGAAATACTAAATTATCTGTTTGTATAACTTCATTTTCTCATTGTAAAATATACTCAGTCACTAGTAAGCATACAAGCAGTCCATACTACCAAATGGATACTTAATGAGTACCTAGAACTGTACCACACATGACCAACATTACTGCGCGTAACCAACAACGTTACACACCATATCACGACCACGTAGCCACCTGTATTTTCGAAAGTGTGCCAACTAGCTCCTGAAAAGGACAGCAAGGATTGCTCTTGCTCTCGCAATCCGTACCTTCACATCTGCATTAGATCCCACTTGTTTATTGCTGATACTGTCCAGATACGCAAAAGTTCCCACCTCTTTCCAAGCTCCATCAAGTGTGATTTGGTTGTTACTTACTCTTTCTTTTTCTGTTGTTTGCTGAGGCATGCTGCTACTAAACTGGCTTTCTTCACCTACATTTGTTGATGTGTGTGGGATAGAAGGACTAGGTCTAGTTGCATGCAAGCTGTCCACTATACTTTCTTGATCCTTTTCCAATTGTCCACCATAGTGGTTTCATCTTTTTTGAGTACATATTGTAGGGCTTGGAACCTGATGCTGAGAGCTATCTTGAATTTGTCAGTATTTCAAATGAAGGCTGTATTGAACGTTTGTAATGCTGTCTCTCCAGTTGTTCAATGCTTCTTTATCTTCAGTTTCATTTCGGCTACCACCATGTGGTAATCTGAAGCTATGTCAGATCCTCTCCTGGTTCTTGCATCTTCCATTGACCTTCCGAACTTTTTACTGATGTAAGTATGATTCATCTAAATCTCTGTAGTGTAATCTGGTGAGACCCATGTAGCTTTGTGTATGCGTTTGTGTGGGAATATTGTGCCACCTATAACCATTTTGTTGAATGCACATAAATTTGCAAATCTTTCACCATTCTCGTTTCTTTCTTCCATTCAGTCTATGTCGTCCCATGACATCTTCATGTCCGAATTTGACATTTAAGCCCCCCATCAGAATGGTCAGGTCCCTTCCTGAGCACTTCGCTAAGATTGATTGCAGCCTCTCAAAAAACTGATCTTTATCGCCGTCATTGCCATCATTGTTTGGTGCATAACATTGGATAACATTCATTGTGATTCCCTCCTTCTTTGTTTTGAAGGATGCTTTGATGATTCTAGGTTCATGAGATTCCCATCCTGAGTGCTTTACGTACTTCTTTGGATGTCATCAGACAACTCCCTATGTATGCGGAGTATTTTCTTCCTCGTGATCAGAGTACAGCAGTATCTCTCCCGAATCTATTCTTCTGTCCAGCTTGGGTTCAGTGAGTTTCACTGTATTCGAGTTCTGCCAAGTTGTATCTCTTCATTTCGGAAGCTATTTTGTTGGCATCCCCTGTCTCTTCCATATTCTGAACATTCGATGTAACTGTATTAATTGTTGCTCTGGTTGTTAGAAACATCGACCTTGTGACTTCTGAAGAATATCGACTTTCACCATGGGGGGTCATAATCTTTCAACTCCTAGGACAAAGTTTGAATGTTTTAAATTGTTTATTCTGGTTAGTTTTTTTTAGGAAGATTGTTTTTTATGGGATAGGGACAGCTCATGCCAAACCCTCCTCATCCACCCGGATTTTAAATCGGAAGTATATCTAGAAGAGCTACAGGCGGAGTTTAGTATTCTGCCTAAGTACAATAAAGGAAATGAACATGTTCTAAAAACCCGCTACAAATACTTTAAGCAAGTATTTGACTCAAAAAATATAATGTAGTTTGGAGTCTACGTAAATCTATTAATCGGGAAACGACCTAGTGGCTAAAGTAATTTCCTTTCAAAACCAGTAGTTCACGGGTTCAAACTCGTTTTATTTAATTCAGTCCAGGGGGAAAAATAGTAGTATCCCTATCCCTCGTATAAACATTATTGCTCAAAATCGAATACGTAAACCTGTGTCCTTGACGAATGAGCAACTTAAAACAACTTACTAATAAAAGTATGTATACGATAGGTAATCCTAAATACTGTCATCATACAAGCAAAAATAGCTGGTTTCTGAAGTTGTGATATTAGTTCTTTGTCACGGGCTAAATGCTACGGATGGATGAGAAATAAAGCGTAGAAAATTTCAGACCAAGTGAAGTTTCTGCTTTAGTGTTTTCGTGAAGGGACAACACAGAAAGAAGACTTATATAAAAATAATTCATCTGGGATTTAATATCTAGTCTATTGATTCAGTATGTATCCAAGACATTTTGGTACATATTGAACCGATATCTAAACTTTGTCTAGTTTCCCATAGTCAGCAGTTAGCAGTCGATTTATACTTTTTGTGAGTGGGAGATAATGATACTAAATAAGTGAAAAATTGTTTGATCTATGATTCAAATAATCGAAAATTTCGGTGGATGCACAAGTAAATACACTAACAAAAGAAAAGGTTCTAATGTGAGCACGACTATGAGGAATAATTATCAATATATCAGAACTTAACGTTTAATTTGGTGCCAAATGCTGACTAGCTTAGGAGTGGGTTAGAGAAAAACCAAGGATGACCAAACCAAATCGTGGCATTTATTCACAAGTAAAAGGAATATCGATTTGAACTATATTGGCAACTGAAGAATATCTAGATGAGGTTCAAACGTTAACTATAATAATTGGTTAGGGAAATCAGGTAACATGATTCAAAGCATACTAAAACGAGGTAGATTAATTTATTCTTTATTATCTTCTATATCGGCTGATAATGCAGTGTATTTCCATTTACTGAAGTTGTTGGGATATGCGTATGTATGTATACGTATACCTAACCACCGGCTAACTAGACGAATTATGCTTCCTAATGTAGGAGTATGCTGTCAAATCAAGGTGATTTCAGTTCATGAATTCATTGGTAAATGAACCGAGCAGTGCAGGCAAGCGCAGATTACCTGGTTTAGGTCCGAGTGATCATCGTAACTAGTGGTTAGACTTTGAGTGACATGACTCAAAGACGTTTGTAATGGCACACATCTATTTATTCTTTATCGTCCTTCGATTCTTGTATTCCAAAATCTCACTAAAACTTTTCGTTTCTTTTTTCCTATACCTAATCTTCTCTACTACTTCGGGATTGTTGATTTTATTTTGTTGTGGTGTGGCAACTTCAACCTACGCATAGGTTCCATGTTGAATATGGACCGAATTTAGGGAATCTCGTGTACCTCTTAAGCAGTTTCGGCAAACAGAAATATGATGTCTGTAATCGGATGCAATTATCAAACATAGGTTTATGCATACATTTTAAGTTTTACGGCTGATATTACCTCGCTGCGAGTGGAGTGACATTTAAGACTGTGACCTACTATTGCTTTCAAGACGTGCTTTAATCACTAATCAACCGACATCAGATGATTCCAAACATCAAATATCAGGAGTTAGCAAGATTACCTCTAAATTGCAAGTCTTTAACTAAATTTATAAATAATTTAATTCTGTCAATAATAGTGACTGACTAATCAGGAACAGACAAAAGCAATTACTTTGAACATTAAAATAGTGACTAGAGATGATCTAATCTTTTGGAAAAATCATAAGCACAATGAGAAGTGATCTTATAAACCATAACTTACCTTCCTGAAGTGAAATTATAAAAATTATGAGTACCCATATACTTTTCAAGTAAACGATTAACATGCGTAATTTGTTCAACTGTTAGACGATAAGTCCAACAAGTGGAATCGTTTAATAATGAAGTAGCAGGTGATAAGGCGAATGTGGGTAATAAATAATCATAAATTCGATGTGTACACGAACCGTATGAAGAAAATCCACGAGTTACGCGAATAATATCTAAAAGGCAAAAACGAAATACAAAGCTGTACACTTATAATATATATATATTTTCCTGTTACGCAACACTGGATGCTTGAAAGCTCGTGTTGTCACTTATACTATTTTAGGATTCGGCCTAACACTTTTTCTGTGCCTCTTGGGTATGGCAACTTGAACTGATGTACATACATACCAGTTTCTACGTTATGACAGATTATTTCAGTTTTTTTCATCCGCTACTGATCACCATATTTTAGTCTGTTTGTAGGTCATTGGCTAGGTGATTAAACCGTTCGATATCCAGTTTCCTAATCTAAAGTTTGTTTGTCGAACTAGGGCTCACAAGCATGAGGGTGGAAGCTAAGTATCAAAGCATTTGTTTATTGAGTTTATTTATTTATTTAAACACATAAACATTGGTACGAGGAGGCACCAAATAGATATGCGCCACATAAATCACTCGATTTGTGTGAGAGCTGGGATACTACCCGGGTGCCCAAACCGAAGCAGGTGGCTTTCTTAGGAGGACACAACCGGAACCTTCGACTTAAAGGTCTAATCCACAAGGCAGTGGAGCAACGTCAAGAGATGAAGTCCCATAATGGTAGAGGTGGTAAGAGTATAAGCAGTAGTCGGAAAGATGTTATTTAAGGAGTATAATACAGCGGAATAAATTTGGAAAGAGCGAAAAGGGACATAAAGAATTCAGAAGATTAGAATTTGGGAGAACACAAAGAGTGGATGTACCTGTGCCGTTGCAAACGATTTTGAGCCATGTCATTCAAGATCTCTAATCATCGTTTGCCATCGTCTCGCGGTTCTCAACTAGGTAATCTACACTTACCAACATGGCTCAGTCCACTTGTCAGTGACTTCATGGATTTGTGCCATGTTTTGGTCTGGTCGCCCCCCGCTTTCTTCCAACCCACTCCTATACCAGAAAACATAGCACGTCGAGGCAGTCGGTGGTCGGGCACACGTAACACGTGTCCCAGCCATCTCAACTGATTAGGTTTCACTACTTCATTAATTGATTTGCCATACTTACCTAGTACCCGTTTCCTAACAACTGCATTACTTACTCGGTGGTCCCAGGATATGCGAGCAATGCTTTGAACACACCTATGATTGAATACTAGTAACCTACGAATATCCTCTACTCTTACTGGCCATGTTTCACTGCCATAAAGTAGGACGGAACGAACTGCTGCGCAGTAAACCCGTCCTTTGGTTGGAAGAAGGATATTTCGCCTACGCCACAAATGACGCAAGTTGGCAAAAGCTAGTCGAGCCTTCTGTATCCGTGCTGAGATTTCGTCACACACCAGACCACAAGGGCTGATGAGACTTCCAAGATAAGTGAAGCGGTTGACACGCTCAACTACTTCACTCCCTATCACTAGTTCGGGAGTCGATGCAACCCGATCCTGAAGAAACATTTTGCACTTCGAGGGGAGAATCGCATCCCGAACATGGCTGCATTGTTGCTTATAGTGGTCAGAAGACTGTATTTTATCAGCGTCTCTTCACTATGGAGCATGGAGAGAATTAGTCGTATGTCCTTACCCAAACTAAATTGTTTGCATACATTGCCTTCACGATGTTAATAAACCTATCAGACATACCCTTCTTCAACAGATAATCCCAGGGCTCATTCCTGTTTAACAATATCGAAAAACACAACCATTGTTGGTCTGCAGTAGGTATGGTGGTGTTCTAATATTTGTCAAATGACAAAAACATGACCAATAGATCCACAACATGACCAGAAAACAGACTGCTCCTCATTAGTCAGTTTTTTACGGATTTCGGGTATTCTGTGAGGTGTGAGTGGAGCCAACAGTTCGAAATCAGTCAGAAGTAGACGTATCCTCCCTCTGATGGTTGTTACACAAATGTAATCCCTTTTTAAATGCAGGGACGGCGATAGACTCATTCCAAGACGTTGGAAGACACGCCGTTTTACAAACATTTTCAGACATCAACCAGTTCTCTAAACACCGATTCCCAATCATCTTTTGGCAGTCGGGGCTATGTTATCCGGGAGTGGTGAACTGTGACACTTCAGCAGTTGAAATTCTCTGAGGACTTTCACCTCGCTGGGTGGATTATTCGTCACCGCATAGAGAGAACAAGCTGTTCCTCGATAAGCTGGTTACCTTCCGAGACATCACCTGTTTCGGTTTGGCAGTATCACAGTCCTCACACAAATCAAATGAAATTTGTGTGGCGCAAATGTATTTAGTGCCTCCTTGTACCAATATCTGTATTCAAATAATAAATGATAATCCGGGACATCATTAGATGTCCCATTAACTCCACAAATTGTTTCATTCAAACTAGACTTTGTGTCAGTGGCTCAGATGGGTTGAAATAGCTTACGGAAGTTGCTAGATGCTGGAGTTATTTCTAAATTGATAGCACTTCGACCATCAAATTTCTCAGTTTTTACACGAAACGAAATTTCCTCAAGTAGGAATCAACGTTCACCATCAAAGTTGTGATTCACCAGAGCAGACCGACGTTCCTTTCAGATTTGCTAGAAACTTAATGACTGATTACGATGTGATCAACCTGATTTCAACCCAGCAACTTCTATATCGTGCATTGATTGCCGGTGCTGAGGTGGAGTGGGAAAAGCAGAAAGGTGGTCAATCTCTATGACATGGTCCAGTAGTGAGAAAAAAGAGCTTTTTAGGATTGGCATCTGCCACTCTACTATGACTCCCTGGATAGGGTTTTATAGATATTTTATTTATTTATTTATTTTAACACGTATTGGTACAAGGAGGCACCAATTACATATGCGCCACACGAATCTCAATTGATTTGTGTGTGGGCTGAGATACTGCCCGGGTGCCCAAAACGAAGCAGGTGGTTTCCTTAGGGGGACACACCCCGAGCATTTGACCTAAAGGTCTAGTCCACAAGGCAGTGGAGCATCATGAGGAGATGCAGTCCCATGGTAGCCGGTGACCAACGATTGGTTCATACGCCATTTGTTCCTTCAGGATACTGGAGCCCATGTGCACCATTGGTTTGAGATCCGGTTATAGCGCCGGACATTCGCTTTTCGTCCTCTCAATTTCGTAAACAACACCCCCTCCACAAGAAGGCAGTGAGTAGGACTTCCCTGGCAGGGGCTATATACGCGTGGCCATATGAGAGCATTTCGAGAGGGAGAGCGGACTCTCCCCACTCTCGGCCGTACCAGGGCATTCAGTGACTTAAGACGTTATCGGATATTGCTCAGAATGAAAACCAGTGGTGGGTCCCCCTGTAGTTTCCTTCGATATTCCTCACAAAATAGGGAAATTCAACGGAAAGGATCCTTCTTATTCGTATCTGTTTGAAACTGACTACCTATTGCAATTCATCCTTGTTCACTCATTTCAATTCATTTGTTCAGTTGACCATTCTTCCATTCCTTTCTCTATCTCCACACAATGTCGTTTTCTTATTCGTGTGGGGCATATTTATTTTGGCGTCCAGTTGTACTAGTATTTATGTGTATAGATAGAGTAATTAGTACTTAGTTCGCCCATACCAAGGTTGGGAAATATAGTGTTTATGTTCTTCAGAAAAGGTGATTAACAGATGAACCTGTGAACTTACCAAGAACACGGATATTTTCAGGTAGGGCTTTGTTTAATTTATTTAATAAGTCTGTGTCTTCTTGTAACTTCGGGGGAGAATAAGAATTAGTTTAATCCATTAATAAAGAGACCTACGTGCATGGAACAAACTTGTCCAAGAGCGGAAACGGATTTGTCAGTTTTAGATGCACGTTGAAAATGAACCTGAAAGTAGGATGAAAATAAACAAAAGAATAAAATGCTTTTAGATCTTGCTACATATACTAATATACGATTATCAATAATTAAATGGTAGTCAAAAGCATGTTCGATATCGAGCGGTATGGTCCAATGTTGAGCAGAAACTTATTGAGTTGGAATTGAATGTATCGAACATTAGTTACCTTAAAGAAATAGGTTGTTTAATATAAAACACAGATGGTAGCGATTGAGATCAACTACTGTCCAGTCACCAGATAAGTGAGAAAATTGCTCACATTATTTCATAATATCACTAATTTTGTGATAAACACGCTGGGATAAACATCATTTTGGTAACTGTTAAAGACAGTGTCTCAACCAACCTTATTCAGTCATAAGAGAGGCAGCTTGGTGGTTATCATATTTGGTTTTAAACCAATGGGTCATAGGAATTATAAAGTAATATACATTGGAAGCAAGTATACAAGTATCTGTAAAGCAATAAACCCCACACCATCAGGTCAGAGGTGCGATTCTTGCTTCAATTACTTCGGATTGAGCGATGAGGTTGGTACACCAGTCCATACACAATAATGGTGGTTCAGTTAAAAATCTTTACATAGATATTGAGTTGCGGTACGTAACTACTGGTTTACATTTTAGGCAAATCATATCTATTTTATCTCGTTGGCTTTTATGTTAAAATTTACTTGTTGAAGGCAGGGTGGGAGAAGTATCTGACAGTTTGGGACATTAGCATGAAATAAAAAAAACCGAGTTTATTTAACAAGTACTGATGTGCCCTGATGCTGATGAGTAGTAGTTCGAAAAGTTGACAGATACAGCTTAAAGCTGGTTGCTTTTACATCCCTTGAGGACGTGCACAGTTTAGAGTAAAGTAATAAGAGCGACAAGCATCGTTGGAGAAACATCTTAACAAAAGTCCGACCGAGCAAAACAGCTGCAAAACGAAATTTTTAGGGCTGTAATTGAAAGTGATCAAATAAGACATTGTAAGCTATGATGAACTAAAGCATACTATATGAAAGGTGTCACTGGAAGAAAGCTGACATCTTTAGATGGCAATAAACTGATAATTGCTTCAAAGGAAATAATCCTTATCGATACATAAACACTATTACTAAAGTCATACACAATTATTTATTTGAACATAAATATTGGTACGAGGAGGCACCAAATAGATATGCGCCACATTTGTGTGAGAGCTGGGATACTGCCCGGGTGCCCAAACCGAAGCAGGTGGCTTTCTTAGGAGGACACACCCGGAACCTTCGACTTAAAGGTCTAATCCACAAGGCAGTGGAGCAACGTCAAAAGATACAGTACCATGATAGCCGGTGACTATGTGCACCACTGATTTAGAATCAGGATATTCCAACTCCCCTAGGTGGATCCTCCGTATCCACCAACCCGGTTAAAGCGCCGGACATTCGCTTTTCGTTCTCTCAACATCGTGAACAACACCCCTGCCGCGATAAGGCAGTGAGTAGAACTTTCTTGACAGTGGTTGTATACGCGTGGTCATTTCGAGAGGGAGAGCTAACTCTTCCAACCCTCGGTCGTACCAGGGCATTTGGGGGTAGCATGAGACCTCGCCGAGACCCTAAATCGGGCTGCTCGATATAACAATAAGTTTGATAGGAATAGTTGTTGACTTACTCTTTTATGTTCTTCACCTGTTAGATTATCGAGTTGACCACAAGTGAAGAGAGCTTTAGACAATTCTCCTTCAATAGTTGGAAAAACAGGGCATCTGATTGGAATTTTATTCACACAAACACAAAAACAGTAAGACAACACTATTGAAATTCCAAATATATAAAATAATCTTAGAATTAGGAATTGCAAAATGGTAAAAGAACATATGAGTTTGTAAAAATAAAATTTTCAGTTAAGCGTTTTACAAAAATTATTCTCAACGTACGAGGATGAAATTAGGGTAATAAAACATGTACTCCGTGAACCATATATAAATCCAGTGTAAAAATTGAAGGACTGGATGGAAAAACGGTGTATAAGGCATTAAGGTTAAACATGAACTCATATCCTAATATGGAAAACAAAAGTGAAATATATTTGTACCAATTATATTTTTATTTTATTTTAACACATAAGTATAGGTACAGGGAGGCACCAAATACATATGCGCCACACAAATCAAAATTGATTTGTGTGAGGGCTGTGATACTGCCCGGGTGCCCAAACCGAAGCAGGTGGTTTTCTTAGGGGGCCACACCCCGAGCCTTCGACCTGAATGTCTGACCCACAAGGCAGTGGAACATCGTAAGGAGATGCAGTCCCATGGTAGCCGGTGACCAACGATTGGTTCATACGCCATTTGTTCCTTCAGGATACTGGAGCCCATGTGCACCATTGGTTTGGGGTCCGGTTATAGCGCCGGACATTCGCTTTTCGTCCTCTCATTTTTGTAAACAACACCCCCGCCACGAGAAGGCAGTGAGTAGGACTTCCCTGGCAGAGGCTATATACGCATGGCCATGTGAGAGCATTTCGAGAGGGAGAGCGGACTCTCCCCACTCTTAGCCGTACCAGGGCATTTGGGGGCCGATTGTGACTCGACAGTACGTCGGAAAACGTAAAGATGCATGAGTAATCTTCACCTAAAAAACCCTTGCTATCAATGTTGACAAATATTTATTTTCAATCAACCTAAGAGTTAACGTCTTAGAAACTTAACAGTCTCGACAGTATAATTAAAATATTCGGTCTTCAAGAACCAGTATAAGATAACGACTCTCAGTCAGATAAACCAAACGTGGAAAAAAGGATTTGTCCAATTTTCCACACTACAACAAAATAAAATCAACAATCCCAAAGTAGTAGAGAAGATTAGGTATAGGAAAAAAGAAACGAAAAGTTTTAGTGAGATTTTGGAATACAAGAATCGAAGGACGATAAAGAATAAATAGATGTGTGCCATTACAAACGTCTTTGAGTCATGTCACTCAAAGTCTAACCACTAGTTACGATGATCACTCGGACCTAAACCAGGTAATCTGCGCTTGCCTGCACTGCTCGGTTCATTTACCAATGAATTCATGAACTGAAATCACCTTGATTTGACAGCATACTCCTACATTATGAAGCTGCTGCGTATGCCTGAATACCGATTACCACGACGCGCAATGCTAACCGGTGTTAGGGATGATTGGAAGAAAGTTAAGGGCGGCCAAACCAAAACGTGGCATCAGTGCTTGAAGACACTAACTTCTGGTCTGAGCCATGTTGGTTGATGCAGACTGCCTGGTTGGGGTCCGCATGATTATCGTAACCAATGGTTGGAGACTCTTGGTGACATGGCTCAGAATCGATCACAATGGCGTCGGTGTGTACACTCTGTCTTCCCTTAAACTAAGAGATTAAAATCACTTCAAATCTTTCTTTCTACGAACTAATTCTATCTTCCTGTACTATCTTTTTATACACACTCTTTCTTCTATATATTACCACAACTGAATTAACTACTTCTATGAATCCGGTGTTCGTCTCGTGCTAATGCGGTATGGCAACTTGGACCGATGCATATACGTGCCTGGTCCTACGTTGCAGCTGACTGACTGACATTAGGAAGCATAATTCGTCTAGTTAGTCGGTGGTTAGGTCTACGTATACATACAAACGCACATCTCAACAACCTCAGTAAATGTAAATGGGAATGGTTGGAAGATAGTTAGGGGTGGCCAAACCAAAACGTAGAATCAGTACTTGAAGTCACTAACTTCTAGTCTGAGCTATATTGGTAGATGCAGACTACCTGGTTTAGGTCCGAGTGATCATCGTAATAAGTGGTTAGACTTCGAGTGACATGACTCAAAGACGTTTATAATGGCACACATCTATTCACTCTTTATCCTTCTTCGATTTTTGAATTACGAAATCTCATTCTTTGTCCCTATACAAAATCTTTTCTACTACATTGAAATTGCTACTTGGTTGAGGTACGCATGTTTATCGTAACCGATGGTTGGAGACTCTTGGCGACATGGCTCAGAATCGACCACAATAGAGTAGGTGTATACACTCTCTGTCTTCCATTGAAATATGAGATTAAAATCGCTCCATATATTCGTTTCTATGAACTAATTCTTTTTTCTTGTACTACCTTCTTTTATGCTATCTTTCTTCTATACATTTCCACCACTGAATTAACTGCTTCTATGAATCCGGTGTTCATCTTGTTGTGCTAATGAGGTGTGGCAACTTGGACCGATGCACATGTGCCTGGTCCTACGTTGTGACTGACTGACTGACCACATCTACCTAGCACCCTATGTCTAATCTTAACACTTCAGTGGTCCTTGTATATATCAGCAATGAACTCCATGACTGATTTGACTTACCATTTAATTGAGAAATGAAAAGAAGATAGTCCTGAGAACTGGATATGGTTCTGAGTTAAATCAAAGTTGATGTGCTGGTAAGAGCTTTAGTATCAGGTCCATGACACTAGTGACACGTCTGATAATTTAGGAGACTATATATATATACAAGAATACTTTTGAGGCAGTTGGAATCTACCTGCGATTTAATACTGCTTTCTTACTAATATATTATATTTGTGGCCATGTGTCGTAAACATATATGAAAGCAGAGCGAGCTGCTGGTCTTTTGTTTAGCAAACGGATGTGTCGATTACATCACAAGCGATGAAAGTTAGCACAATTCAACCGAGCTTTCTGAAGCCGTGTCAAAATTTCGCGAGATATCAAATCCAACACAGGTGATAGGAATGATGATAGTTCTAATGACGTCATCAGCTTGACCCATTAATCCGGTCTCTTTATTGCATTATGACAAAGGCCATCGTTATCTCAACCTAAAACCTTTTGAATAGTGACAAACTACTTAGATAAGGTTTTTTGACTAAGATGGCTCAGTTAACAGTGACTTACGCAATGAATACAACTAAAGGGTCTTGATCTTTAGAATATTTTTATCTTCCTAGAAAAGCTGTTTACGCTTTTATGTAATATGATTGGGTTTATAGAATCAATCTCAGGTAGTAGTATTTTTGCATCCCTCAGAATTCTAAATCATCTTCATTCACTGAACCTGTATATTGTAAATGCACATACTTCTAAGGACACTTCCAGTGTATACATAAGTAAATATACTTTGTGTAGCGATATAGGAAATGTCCACAATTATAGAAGCAGCTACTCTCACCATAAAACGTATGATATGAAATTGCTCTTATAGCAGTCAACAGCTGTTTCCGTTAATCTATATTTGTAAGGAAGTTTCGGTCAATGATACACACTTAAGGCACGTTGCATGTTAGCGAATGTCTACGTATACAAACACAATTAACTGTTCACAATTAAAAAGTCGAATATATAACGCATCAGATTGTTAACTAACCTTTGCATACCATAATAACCCCAACCTGAATACATCAACAAAATGGCATTATTCCTACGTTTAGGTCTGGTAGAATGATTGGAGGAACTAGGGACCGATTTATCAACAATAGGTTTTGAAGATGGTTGTTTTAAATTGGTAACTTCGTAAGACTTCAAGACAGACATCATAGAAAGAAGGAAATCACTGAAACGGTTTGATAACCTTTTCATAAAACTTTACGTAAAATATTATCAATCTCTTAAACCAAGCTCTTTTTCCCGTTTCTCTTTAAAAATAAGTGCTTTCGCGTAGTCTTGTTGCTGTTTTTTGATAACAGGTCGTTTAAATATATAATACTGGGCCAGTGAAATAACTGTGTACCCTGTGAGGACTACACCGAACATCAAGCAAGTGAAGACTGCACCACGGTGAGCAGTCGTAAGAACGCGGTTTAATGTGCTTCTTTGGTAATTCTTTTTCTGCATAATATCATAACAGCACGACCACGCCGTAGCTACTATTTGAAAATCCCCTTATGCGTCCAACGCTCAATATGCAGTATTTGAAAATAAAACGCTAACTGTGTAGGGATGATGAAGTTAGATAAATCACCGGCTTACCTAGCAAGTGAAGAATTGTGATCAATGTTAAGCAATTGCGATCCGGAGATTGGTTTTCGCAACTAATCCATGATCCCTGGAAAAGAGTTGTGGTATATGTTGAAGGGGATAACGTTAATTCATTTCAAAGAACCACAGGAATAGTTGAATTCAATTCCGTGAGTTATTTAGTGGCCATTGGTGCATTAAGTTGTCATAAGTTAGTTATGGGGAATTGCTGAAGACTATTTTTAAGGGATGTGCTCACGTTATATGTAGCAGCAGACTGGTCCTTGTAACATCTACTTTTATCTCTGATAGCCTTCTCATTGTTGTAAGTTGTCATGATATTATCTAGATGCTGAGGTCTAAAGATATCACAATGTTCGGAGTTTGACAGCGCCACAACATGACCGAAGTATACCGACCCAGTCAAATCAAAATTCAGAAATGAAGTGGTTCGAAGATATGTTAAAAAGGCCATCAATATGCCGAGAAGCTTTTAGTCTGGGCTGACTAACAGTTGCAAGGGATGCGAAGCACAACGCATCGACTCATGATCTGGTGCGAATGAATGAGTGAACGCCTTTAATTTGGTGTGTCGATTAGGACTATTGGGGTCGACGTCAGATGTCAAAGACACTACAATCTTCCTAAATATTAAAAGTTCGTGAAGTGGGTAAGCGGTTCCAGCCGAGTTTAATGTATGCGGTATAATTTTTTATTACATGCTTTACGTAATCTCGAGCGATTAATAGATGTTTGACAGGCCTTTGGTTTAACTAATCAGGTATATTAAACTTTATGGGATTTTACATGCACTCCGGTCTGTTATGATATATAAACCTTCATTCTTTTAGTTTCATTCATTACTATGGGATTTCATCGTTTAGGTGTTATGACTAAGTGGCTGTAATATGATTAGTGACGTACGGGATGCACCAGGCTAAACCATCTCTAGAGACTAAAAACAGAATATATGGAGTGAAGTGTTGGAACTAGTTTTGGGGTGCTCGTTTACAATTATTGAGTGATCTAGACATATGTCTAGATAAGTAGTAAGAGTTGCTATCAATGAGACGCACTGGATAAAAGCCAGTTCAGAATTGAACTCACCACTTTTTGGTCTCAATGAGTTGGAGCGGCTTGCGTTAAGGCAGTCATTTCATATTTCAAGTACACGAGGTCACCCAAGTGTTTTTAGGGTAGCCTAACTTAGTAGTATATGCGCGTTTAGATCTGTGTATTTCAACAAACACAGAATGACATATAGCCATCTATGTATTTCGCTTTTGTCTATCTTTCAACTGAAGAAAACACCTGTGTTTGGCTTCTTAATTGTCAAACTATGGCTAGAATTAGGTGAATTTCTCTATCTCATCCTTTTATGACTACAGTAATATTCAATGTTTGTTCAATAGTGCTATACATGCTATTTGATCCAAATACTTACAATTACATTCAGGAACATTTATATTCTAATTTTTAATTCATTTATTTATTTTCAGTCACCTAGCATAAAATAACGAATAGAACGTAACTTTGAATCATAAATGGCATACTGTTCTTTGAATTGGTTATTAACACGTAGTCTGTATAAGCGTTCTACTCGGAACAAAGTGAACGAACAGGCAGTCACAGTTTATATAAGTTATCAATGTGGTCCGAGATTTTCAACACTTGTCATCACATAGGCTATATATTATACATCATTAGTTAAAACGTTGATGTTTTAAAAATACATGTCTGTTAGCCAGAAATAACCGATATTCTTATCACCGTCTAATTTGGGATAAAGTTGTTGAGGTTTACCACATGAAAGTCCGGCTTTCATTAACACTGTTTAATCGACAGGAAATGTTAGTTCAAATGAATCAAATGGTTGTGGACGGAATAGAAGCTTTCGCTTAACAGGCTTCCGTGTCTAGTAGCAGGGAATCACCAATACCTCCGGGCAAGAACCTAGGTATATTAACGATAAAAGAGAAAAAAAGAAATTGGTACATCATAATAAGATACTATCCTTAGTCCTTAAGAATAGATCAGGTCATCTCTTAAAGCACTCCTGGCAGGTCGCTTGGACTAGCTCAGCCGGCAGCGAATTCCAGCATTTGACAACTTTTAAGGAATAGAAATTGTGTCTGCAGTCCGTTCTACTATGTTGTATCTCCGATTTCTGGGTGTTACCCTTTACGTTAGTGTTGGGACTAAGCTTAAGTAGGTGTTTAAGAGGATGTCCAGAAGTGTTAAGGATACAGTAAGCCATTAGAAGGACACCTCAAGGACGCCTATACTCTAATGGGTAAATGTCAAGTGATTGGAGGCGCTCTTCGTAAGGTTTAAATTTGAGTCCCTGAAATGATTTTGTGGCTCGCCGTTGAATACACTCCAGAGTGTCCTTATCCTTTTGGAGTGTAGGAGGGAATACTATGTTTCCTTACTCTAAATGGGGACTAATAGAACTATTGACGATTATGTGGAAAGTTCTCCCGTCAAACTGACCAAAAATGCGCTTCAATGTTGCCAGTGCAAGGTTTGCTCGAAGGGCATTTCTGTCACAGTTGGTGTAAGACTTTGAGTCGTAGGGCACCAGGACTGCTAAATCTTTTTCGACTCGGGATACTACTAGAGAGGAGTTCCTCAAGTTGTGACTGTAGTCTGCAACGTGTTGCAGATGAACTACTTTACACTTTGAAGTGTTAAAGGTAAGTCCGTTGTCGTTTGCCCAAATTTGAAGTCGAGTCAGATCCTCCTGAAGTGCCTGTATATCCTCTTGGTTGCGTATCTCTCTCCACAGTTTCACGTCATCGGCAAAACTAATAAGTCTGACGTTACCTGTTGAGGAAGATCATTTATATAAATCAGGAAGAGAATTGGTCCCAGCACTGAGCCCTGGGGGACCCCACTAGGACATTCCATAGCGTGTGAGAAATTGAAGTTTACTCTGACCTTAAGATGTCGATTTGTCAGATATGAACTGAGCCAGTCAATTAAAGGTGGTTTGATACCCAATTGTCTGAGCTTATTGATAAGACGTACATGGCTAACCTTATCAAAAACTTTTGAGAAATCAAGGTAAATGATGTCCACCTTCCCCTTGCGATCGAGGATGCTTGTCCATCTGTCCACCGCAGTCAGCAGGTTGGTTATGCAGGAGTAACCCTTCCTGGAACCATGCTGCTGGGGTGAGAAGAAATTTTAGGACAGCAGATAGTCGTGTATACCATCGTATATCAAGGACTCCATGATTTTTGAAGGTATAAAGAGGAGAGTCACTGGTCGGTAACTTGAAGGTTCGCTGCGTCGACCTCCTTTAAAGATTGGTGTGATATGAGCCAGCTTCCGATTTTACGATAGTTTGCCTCGACTTAGCGAGTGTGAGAACATCACGCTAAGCGGTGTTGCCAGGATTGAAGCTGCTTCCCTCAGTATAGCGAAACGGACCATATCTGGGCCAGGAGAAGTGTCAGTTGAGAAACTCCAGTTTTGGCTTGACGAAGAGAGGCTGCGTGACGGAATAAGCTTTTAGGATTGGAAATAAATTTATCCATAGGCTTTATCTGGTACTGAAGCCTGTCTTCTCCAATAGCCTTCGTATATATGTTCCTTATATGTTTGACGAAACTGAAGGCTATAACGGCGTGATCGCTTTCCCCAGGGGAGCCAGAATTGAGAAGTTGTCAACTATAAATTCTTCATTTGTAAAAACACAGTCTAAGCGGGACGGTGTCTGACTTTTCCTCCAACGAGTTGCCAACTTCACATTTTCGTGTAGTCCCGAATCCTCAATGGGGTTGAAGAACCGAGCTTCGATTGAGTTTTCACCTCCAATATACGTATGCTCCTCGAAGTTGACTCTAGGGAGATTGAAGTCCCTTAGAATCAGGATATGAGTGAAACCGAGACGCGTGGGGCTGGATAGTCTTTCCAGCATACGACTGTCATACTCGATGTCGGCAGTGAGCTTCCTATATATGACTCCGAGTAGGCACCTCTAAGTAGTAGACAACCTCACAGAGCACCACATGGATTCCTCAAATTTGTTAAACTCATGGTTGTAAACTTGGTGTACCTACAAGCAAGATCGTATGTACACGGCTACGTCACGAACGTTAAATGTCAGCGGCTAATTTCATCGCTTTTTGACTCCAACAGATAAAATCCTGTCAACTGAGTATTTGAATAGTATCATGAATTTACTCAAGAATGTTCAAATGCTAGAACAGCAGTTTCTGTGGTGATGTATTGTTAATAACCAGTAAGATCCCCAACCACACAAAAGGCAAGTATACCGGTAAGCGGGAGTGTGAGTCGAAAAATCTATGAGTAACTTATGGGTGCTAATCAATTGTGGGGAAGTTATGGGTTACCTGAGTAAATAAGCAACAGGGGAAAAGATAAAGATTGGAGAGGAGACTTGCGTTTAGTCAGATGTGCAGTGGTATTGGTCCTAATCACACAATCCTCAAAGCTGAACATGACATAACTGGAAAAAATGATATTCAACATTTAACACGGAGGGAAGGCCAACATTGGCGAACGCAGGAATATTGGATTAAAAGAGATGGTACGGCTCAGACTTGCAGAAGTGGTCATTCTGTATAACTTGTCTTTAGACTAAGTACATTATT